GTTTCTTTTTGTTCCTCTCCCCCCCCCCCCCCCCCCCCCCCCTTTCTTTTTCTTTTCCTTCCTTTTTTTTTTTTTTTTTTTTTTTTTTTTTTTCCACTGCTGTTTTGTTGTGGGACCTGTGTGTGTGTTTTAATTCATTCCTTTCTCCTGCGTGTCTGTGTGTATGTGTGTGTGTGTGTGTCTGTCTGCTTTCCCTCTTGTCCTCTCTTCGCCTGTGTGTCTGGGCCACATTTTAATGCACAATATCCCATCCATTAAGTTGTGGTTGAATGCGGAGTGTGTGAGGACTTGGCAGCTCTCAGGTTGAAGGGGGCGGGGAAGCCCGTTTCGGCTCTGACACAAGATGCCGATGTGGCGTGATCTGAATTATTATTAGGGCTGCGAACATGGCCATCTTCTCCTGCTGCTGGAAAGCGCTGCCATTGAACTTGAGACGGGACAGACAAGATCTCCAACTTTTTTTTTTTTTTTTTTTTTTTTTTTTTTTTTTTTAAGTACAGTAGCTGGCAGGGAAAAGGCGCCAAAACACACAAGATTAAAGTTCTCTGAAGCGGTCTTGTGCTGCTACCCTTACGACCTTAACTTTGAATTGCAAGGAGAAAATAAAATAAGCAAACAAACAACAACAACAACAAAAGGTTTTTTATTCTGATTTAGACAGACATTTAAGTCCAGCTTCTGTGTCGTAGTAGTCCCATCCCCCTGTCTCTCCCACCCCCCACCCCCTTAAAAACTGGCAAGTGATAAAAACTGGCAGAAAAGATGGAGGTGAAATCTTGTTCTTACTGCTGCTCTTTACCTCCAGAGCATTTAAGATCAGAAAATGTTATTTTTTAAAAAAGAATTTACTGTATCAGGGTAAGAGGGTTTCCATGCCTTTGTAAGGCTGAGAACATGACCCGCAGCGAGGACAAAAACTGCACAGTTGTGTAACCCAAAACGTTGTGGTTTACACAGCTTTACACTTGAGGTTTGATGTTTTCATTTGCTGGTCTGGGAGCTGTGGAAAGCTTGAGTATTATAGTCCCCATCAAACCGTATGTGGACAGAGGTCAAGCGCACACACCCTTCATGTATGTGTGTGTTTCTTGTAGAGCCAGTAGTGGTTTTCTGTGCTTCTGATTGTATATACACATGCTTTGTATCTGATCGTGCATATATGCAGTTTGTATATAGAATATGTTTCTTCTGATTACCCAGAAAAAAAAAAAGATTGCTAGTAAATATTATGATATATAAATTTATAGGTGTGATACTATGGTAACTCAAAAGTTGTAGTGATTGTTGTTCACATTCCAAAGGAATCATAAATACCTTACAAATTCAGCTGCATATGAAATAAATCAAGACCTCGTAAAACAATGTATTATCTGTTTGTTTATTTAGCTAGTTGTGTTTCTTCCCTAAATGTTTGCTACCCAACGTTTTGTCTGTGTATATATATGCTAATGGATATGTATACATCTGTATGCACGGAGGACAGAGCTCCTGTACATTGGGAAACTGACCAAGGCTGTGACTGTATCAAACACAAGTGAAACTTTACTTTGTAGTTGAGTGTGGTGGTACAAGAAGTCTCACAAGGCATGAAGACTAGTCATATAGGTAGACTCACCATTAAGTAACACTAATGTGTTACTTAACTTACTTAACTTAATGTGATTTGGGTTATTTTTTACACATAGGTGACACAAACTGTATTTTACTCATGCTGCACAGTATTTATATGTGCACCTAAGTATTTGTATATCTAATGGGTTTGTGTGTGAGAGCTGCATTTTCTAACCATGGGTTAAAAATAAGTTAATAGTATTGCTGTTAAACTGGATGCAAAAAGCACTGTAAAGCTTGTCTTTTAGATCATGGGGAACTTTTAAGAAAAAATCTTGGAGTTGTTTCTCTGATGTTGAATCTTTTGTATTAAATGCTGTATATCTCGTTCAAATGCCCCTGATTTTTGCATTGGAATTTTCATGAAAATATAATTTCTTAGAAGTTCAGCATATGCATGTTTAGACAGTCAACCCAATTGCCCACTTGTATCTTGAGAGAATCTGAGGTTACACATTTCAGCATTAACAATACCTCTCTCTTTGATTTCTGATGCATGATAATAGTGTTGTGCTCCAAAACTCAAAACAGTTGAGCAGTTGTCTGGACAAAGGGCATCAGCTGAAATTTTGCTTTAGGAAGTATATCAGTGGCATAACTGGCCTTTCCACTTTTTAACATCATTATCTCTGAAGTTCAAGGGCAATGTCATCTCCCAGCATCTGATAACATTTGCGTACACTGTCTGCAACTGAAAGAGGAGAAAACACTTTCAGTGCAAGTCCAGGGTACTAAAATCTCCACTGCTAGCCAAAAAAAATGCTCCAAAAGAGCTAGGGTGGGTGTTGGGGATCAAGACCATCTGTCCCAGGGTTGATGTGGGTAAGGACTTGGAGGCAAATGGTCAACTTTTGCACAAGGTCTCCATGCAAGCCTAGGTCCAGACTCTACGGCTGCTGTCATTGCCACGTTAACACTGTGGCTCTCCAGGCTAACCTGCTTGCTCATGTGTGTGGGCCTCTCTCAGGGCAAACCCTCCCTCCCATGCAGGTTTCCACTGGGATTCACTGGGAGGAACCAGAGGGCTGAACCAAAGACAACCCACACTGTGCCCACCTTGCCTCCTAGGGCACGTGCAGGAGAGGACGGGTCTGGAGCCCCATTGGGCAGGCGGCTCTATTCCCCTCAGGGTGCCTTCAGGTGTGGGGCCTGCTCCATCCTGTCCCAGCAGCACCACAACAGGCCGCAGTGCTTGGCTCCGCACCCCGTCCTGGTCTGCTTTGGGTCGGGATGCAAAATGGCTCCCACCCGTGGAGGCACAAACCCAGCCTCTCCCTGACTTCCCCTTGCAGAAAACCCGGCTTGGTGTCTTCCCTACCTTGCTCCTTGCTCCATGTGCTTTGCTGCCCTTGCCTTTCCTCACTTCCAGGACTCTGCTAGGCATTTCTTGCTGTTAGTGCATGGGTTTGTACCTCAAAGCTGGCCCTTGGCCTGGACCCGGGAGGATGTGGTGCCTCCTATGAGTCCTGCCTGGGAAAGAGCAGGCTTCTGAAGCCTCTGCAGCTCTCAGGGCAGGTGACATGGGGCTGGGGGCTCACCTTGGTCCTCATGGAGGAGTGAGAAGGAGAAAGGGGTTGGGGAGGGCTTATTGTGGCATTAGATCAGGTCCGCAATAATGGCTTGTTGTGTAAGAGTTCAAGCACTCAGAGAGGTGTGTTCAAGGACATCAGTGCATTTGTGCCAAGGGGAATGTCTTTTATGGTAAATTAACTCCAGTTAAATTGAATATTTATTCAAAGGGAAACTCCGGTATTTAAAGCTGGCGTTATCAGCTTTTTGCAGTGTCTGGGTGAAGGAAGAGATGATAGGATTTGTGGGGTATTCTCCACCAGATAGGAGAATAAATGTGCTCGCTGTCGTTAACCCCGAATTTGCCTCATCCTTTCCCGCCCGAGTGCTTGCTCTGAACTTGTCACTTATTAATGTGGTTTGCGGAAAGGAACGACGGTGGGTGTCGGCTGAACCCTACAAATCCGAGGGGACTCTGCAAGTGCAGCCAGAGACCGAGGTGCGGAGCGGACCCCGCAAGGGTTAACGCGTGGGGCTCTAGCTGTTTCCTTTGACATTACCTGTCTTGCACGGGCTCTCTCCTTCCCCCGCCCTTCCCCCTTCTCCTTTTGGTTTGTAAATTTATGTGAATTGCAGCTGGTAGACTTGGCAAGCTCCCCTCATTAAGAGCCCTCTTTGAAAATGGGCTGTGTTTGAGCATTTCCCTAATGAGGACAGGACGGGGTTAAAAAGTGACCATTTCATGGTTGACTTGAACCTGCCTACTTTCCTTGATGTGTCGTCGTGAGATGCCTGGCGTGAATAAACTCACTTCGGGAAGGAGGAAGCCCGTGGTCCCTCCAGGACACCGCCGGGGGCTGCGAGACGCCACCGGCAGAGGCAGCACCGGTGCCGGGGGGAGGCAGACGCCGCGCCCCCAGCCCCGCCGTGCATTCAGGGGCACACCGGGCAAATTCCCTTCTCCGAGCCTCCTGCCTGGCCAGAAAACGCGTCCCGGGGCTGCAACTCCCCCGGTGCCGCGGGGGCCGAGGTCGTATCCCGAAAGGGGGAAGGAAAAGAAACCCCCTGCAGACGACAGCCCGATCCCCTCCCCGTGCCCCCCTCCCTCAGCCGCCGCCGCAACTTTTTTTTTTCCCACCGGAGGAGAGGGAAAATGAGGGATGTTTGCAAAACGTGCTCGTTCCTTCTGCGGCGTTAGGTGGTGATTAATAAAGAGGGAGGGCAGGGGAGGGGGATATGGTGGACAAGGAATGTGTTTGCAGGAGGAGGAGTGTAAGGGATGGTTGTGTAATTAAATAATTAAAAAAAAAATACTTAAGTCTCATTTGGGGAGAGAGCTGGAACGGGGTCCAGAGGGTGTAACCGGTGAATTTTTCAACTTCCAAGTTTTGAACAGTGAGAGGAAAAGCCAAGGGGAAGACTGCGCGCGAGCAAATAGGGAGGGAGAGCGAGGGAGAGATTTATCGTTTGAATTTTCAAGAGATCATTTTTATTATAGTGGGCGTTTGGAAAGCAGTCTCTTAACATTACCCACAGAGAGCGGGAGGGAGGGCGGAGGGAGCGGATAGGCAGAGGGAGCAGGAGGCAGCGGCAGCCGCGAGAGGAGCCCGGAGATTGCGCGCTGCGGAGCTTTCCCACCCTTGGGGGACGCACACGCTCGCTCCGGCTCGCTCCCGCACACATGGTCGCTGCCGTGCAAAGTTTCGCCTGCCATCGCTCCGGGATTTTGCTGCGCCGCTCCGGGCTGTAACCTTGAACTTTCGAGAGCGTGGTGACAGTGCCATAATAACCCACCACCAACTTCTTAAAAAAAAAAAAAATTTAAAAAAAAAAAAGCCAAACAAAAAATCCTCCCGCCCACCCCCACCCCCCCCCGCTCGAGTCCTTCCCCCCTCATCTGCAAAACAACCAGCAGCAGCAGCAGCAGCAGCAGCAGCAAAACCAAGACTCCTGCGCCGCCGACAACAAGAGGGTTAAAAGTGTAGATTGGATTTCACCCCGGGAAATCTAGCACACGGAGTGAACTTGAATCTTTGGCTATTTAAGGAGGACCGGGGTTTGTTGTGAAGTTGTGATCCAGGGCAGAGCCCCGTCCTGATTGATTTCATCTTCCTTGAGTCTCAGATGACTGTAAAATGAATAGATGAAATTATTCCTTTTTTGAGGCTTTTTCTTAGGGGCTCTCCGGGCAAGCGTGGTCTCAAAGCGAAGTCATGATGTATTCTCCAATCTGTCTCACTCAGGTATAGACGCGTTTTGTTTCATTTCATTTATTTATTCGTTTATTTACTTATTTTCACGTGCTTTTTTTATATTTGTGTGTGAGTTGTTAATGAGTCATTGCTAGTAGTGGTAATGGGTTAACGCGCAGTTGTAACTGCTTGTCAGATCCAAACTCCTCTCTCAGGAGGGGAATACTGGAGGATCAACTGTACCAGGCCATTGTTTTGGGGAGATCCATTCAAAGTGTCACTCGGAGACAAATGCTGTTAATTGCTAGTGCATAAGGAGTCAAAGGTTAACAGAATGGAAATGAGCGCAATTACGCAAAAAAAGCAGGTTCGAGAAGTATTGATTTGATTGGAATCAAACACTCCGCGGTCTTTTCAGCCCGCCGGCGTACGCGGAACCTAACGAAAGCCTTTAAAAGGAAAAGTGCTGTTTTTGACCGAAAAAAAAAAAAAAAAAAAAAAAAAAGGCAGCGAGCGCGCTCTTGGCGCGAAGCGATCCCGTCTTAGGCTTAATTAGCAGTGCGCAGCCTGCCAGCGGCGGGGGCGAGGGGGACGCGGCTGCCTCCCGGGCGCGCAGCATCCGCGGCGGAGCGCGGAGCGGGGCTCACCGTGGGGCTGGCCGCCGGCACGCAGCGAAGGCAGCGGGACGGGGAGCCGCGGGTCCCGGCCGGGGTTCCCCCGAGCGAGTTTGGGATCTGGGGGCCGAGAGGTGCCCGGCCGCAGCCGCCGAGGGGAGGTCGCTGCCGGGGCTGCGCTGGGGAGGGGGCACCGGCCGGGGGGATGGAAACGCCGTGGGCTGAAGGCAGGGGATAGTTCTGAGAAGCTTTTGTGAAAGTCTGTCTTAGGAGGATGTGATGTAAACTGATTAAGCGATAGCGGCTTGCTTCCACATTGGCGCAACAAATAGCTAAAGAAGGCGAAAACGTGCGAAAGTGGCGTCTCGCGCTGTACGGTAATTAAGCGGGCAGCGACGCGCTTATAGCTGCATGGCGAATAAATAAATGCGATTTAAGTTATTCGACAATTAGAAAGCATTGTAATTCAAAAGGACTGAAGTATTCATAAATTGTGAATGAAGATGGAAACAACGATAAGGCTTATTCAGTGATTGGATGCAGTCCTGTAGCTTTTTGGCTGACACATTTTTTATTGTTTATATTTTGTTTGGCATCTAAGTGTGATTGACTTAGATATGGATATTTTCAGAAAGTAAACCTGAGCGTCAGCGGAGCAAAGCTGGAAAAGAGTGCCGTAGAAATATTTCTTCCTCAAAAGAAAAATTACTGCATGTGGCAAGCATTTTGTGTAGCAGATACACGTACGCTCGCAGGTACACACAGAGAAATAATTGCTTACCTTCAATTAGCAAAAATCAATTCTGTGTGTCCTGTCCATCGTGTGAAATGACAGGCAGTGAGACCTCTGTCCTAGGATATATACCTTACAGTACAACTTAGCACTTCTAACACAGAAAACACGCACGTTTTCACTACCACCTCTAGCACAGCGGGCAGTTCATTTTGTTGTTTTCTGCTCTAATGACTTTTTTTTTTTTTCTGTATCTTTGCCTTTTGGACTCAGATGCAATAGATTTCCTCACTTTTCGCAAATCTATATTAAAATACCATACCTAGGTACATACAAAAACATAACGTTATACTGCTGCAGTCACAGGTACTGGAGAGCGATTCCTGGCTTTCGTGTGTTAATAACTTCTACCTTACATTTTGTAATCCTGCTGTATCATCTGCTGTGTAGGAGCAGTTCACACTTAGAGGCACATGTAGGGAACACAATTGCAGCAGTTTGGATTTTAATTTGGATTTTTTTTTTTTCTCTATCTGTTCGGAATGATAAGAGCGGTTTTGAAATCGTCTTTCCTCTCCCCAAATTAAAAATTCAGATTATGTTGGAAATGAGAATGTATGCTTTCCTCTATTAATTTATTTAAAGCATAAAACTGATGAATCTTATTTTGGTTTGCAACTGAGTTAAAACAGTACTGCCAAATTTGTTCTCTATTGTTTTCTGCCTCTCTAAGGCTTTACACAGATGCATGTTGACTGTGATAGGGTATGCTCAGTAGAAAATATTTTGGTTAAAGTTCTAAACACAGAACACCTGTTTGGATCAAGCTAGTGCACAAGCACCAGTTCAGTTTGTGCCGATAGAGTGCTGAAGCACCTTTCAGAAACAAGTCTAAAATCCCAAAGTGCAGTTTTAAGACAGCCCTTGGCAATTCAAATGTTACCCATGACTGTTTCAATAAAAGTTTGGTGGATGTAAAATAACTTCAAGGAAGACTGAAGACTTGGCAAAAGCACTTTAATCAGCGGGTGGGGGCATGAGGGTCTTTTTCTCTGTCCCCCACATGTCTCTTTCCCCCTGTTTGGGAATGAGTATAAACTACATTTATCTCTCTTGCTGAGGCATGATAGTTACCGCATGCCTTTAAGTGCCTAGACTCTTGTGATATTTTTACCACGTTTATTTTTATGTTATGGTGGTCCAGGAAACTCAGAATATGTAGCCTTTTTCTTACCCCCTTATAATATGTTACGCACAAGGAAAATCCACATGGGGAATTGAGTGCATGAAGTTTTTGCTGTAAAATTTCTAGACTTCTGCCTTGTATACTTGTTGTATGAACCTAGGTTCAAACTTTGATGAATTGATATCAAGTTTATGAGTGGAAAATATGAGAGCGGCACTGCATTTCCCCTTTACCTATTCCAAAAAGAAAAGCCGGCCTATCTATCATCATTATAATACAATTAGACTACTGGTATTTTTTCCTTTATTTACAAACTACATAGTTATTCTATAATAACTTCCATTTTAATTTAAATTGTCAATACAGAATGGTTCACCTGAGCCATTTGATATGACGTTTGAAAATCTTTCCTCCATAAATCACTCTACTGCAAGAGCAACTATGGCACATGGGTAAGTGCCACATAAAAATCATTTTTCAATATTGCGGTATGAATATTAAGGGGAAAAATCAAATTCTGTAGATGGCTTTTTAGGAGGTTTAGTGGTGAATGTGTGTGATTAATTGCAAATCTCCATTTAGGATCCTTTTTATGGGCACTTCTTCTTGTCAAGTAATGTTTCATTTGAAAGGACTCCAGATGCACAATGAATCTCTCACAGATATCTGATAATATTGCTCTAGAACAGGATGTTCTTTGCTGTCTTTCTCCTTCACACTCTTTCACATATATTTATAGCTTTAGGACTTAATGATATCATGAAAGGAAAGCCTGAATACAGTCTTAAAAAGGTTTCCTTTTTTTTTTTTTTTTTTTTTTTTTTTTTTTTTTTTGCTTTTCTTCACTCTCTGAAAAGGAAAACATTCAACCACTATTCAACCAGTGGAGACTGAAATTTAAAAACAGGCATTTATCTCTATAAAATTTTCATAGATATAAATGCTATTGGTTATTATTGGTAACACAACGTGCAGCACCTGAAGGCGAAGCCATTCTGGAAGAGTTTGCCGTGTCCATCTTAAAAAGAAAACTAGATCTGCAGTTTTCTAGTAGTGTAGAATTTCTATGTTAATTTTATTGCCATTTAAAGTTATAAATGTTGGAATCTGTTTTAGACATAGGGTAAATTATTGTATTTGGGAAAAAAAAAATCTCTCAAAGCTCTTCAGCCCCCTGTCTTTTTCCTTACCCCACATTTAATCACAGATATTAGAATTTTCAAGATGTGAAGGAATTCTCTTTTGCTCAGTCTAAAATTAATTGTAAGGATTTTACACTGAGAAACCTTCCTCCTTATGCTTAGTTAAAATTTTATTAACATTTTATGTAAATGCTCTGATTAAGATGACTTTCATAGGTGAAAAAATAAACTTTTGATAGTAGTTAGAATTGAGGGGGAAAAAAGCATGGCATTGGAAAGCGTATGAAGATAGGGAAGTCTTATCATGGGCTGTGGTTACTCAGAGCAGTATTGCCTTCCCACACAAAGAACAGATTGTGGTTTAACTCTTTCCATGGCCTAGTTTCATGTGCCAGTATAGTATCAGAATTGTTCAAATCTCTGCTGGAAACTACTAGTCAGTTTAATTATTGCCTTTGTGACTTTGTCAAATGTCGTACTGTAGTGGAATAGTTTATGTGCTGAATTATCTTCTAATATTCTCTCTTCCCCCCACCCCCCCCCTTTTTTTTTTTAATTATTATTATTGTTTTTTCTCTGTGAAGGTAACATGGACATAGGGAAATGGCTTGCAACTTGTTTTCTGTTTAATTTGAGGGTGGTGGCGGAAGCAAGGTAACCAGTTCCAGTAGGTTTTTACCATTCAGGAAATTTTAAAGTTTGTTTGAAATTTGAAGATATAAATACTAAATTCTTGTCCTGAAGCTTCTACAATGGCAGTCTGAACTCTCTATAATTGAGACCATTAGTTATACTTTCATCATTTTTTCCCTAATGGAGTTAATCAACCTACTGATTAAACATAATTCATTCCCTGTCTAGCAATGTAGCTAAAATATTAGTTTGTTAATTGTATAAATGTAATTGTATTTAAAAGGTTCAGTTTTAGTTTGATTGAACCGTGCCAGTCAGAATGATGAACAATCTGCATGGTATTTTAAACTACATATGCCTACACACAGAGAGATATCTTCCCTAAGGTCTCCCTTGCAAACCAAAATACAGTAATGTTTGATAAGCAGATCACACTGTTTTAAACAGCAGATTGGTTCACAGAAGAGGCTTTAGTTTTTGGGAAAGGCCTATTTAGATATTAACATGGATGTGTAGGATGGTACTTTAAGCAGACAAAACAAATTAATTTAATTGCTATAGGATGTGCTTGTAGACGACAACTACACATTACCTCCTTAATGTAATACATATTGCTGCTAGGCAGAAGATAAGAACTTTCAGGTGTAGCCAGATGATAGAAAGGGATATTTTGGAACTGTAAATAAATTGCATGGGTATCACAAAAGCAGCATTTGACCAGCGGTGCACTCGTAATGTCACTCTGCCACAGCATGCAGGAACACAAAGAATGCAAAGTTTGTGCCAAGTTGCCATTTTTCATTGTACACCTCAGATTGATTTTTAAGGGGTTTAGAATAATTGCCACACTCATGTGATCAGTTAACAAATTAACTGACTCTGTGGGGCTTCAAAACCCATAGTGGAGCTGCCAGAAGAAAATTAATGTAATTTTTGTTCTCAACTTCATAAACTTTCATTTTACAGAGTTTGGGGGTGGTGGGAGGGAAGCCCGAAGAGCTAAAAGTACAGAAGCTTCTGTTCAGGATTTGTGTACGACACGCTGTGTCTTTTCCCCACTTTCCCTTACTATATACTGGTTTCTCTAGTTACCACCGCTGGAATGGTGCTGTTTCAGTGCTGGAATGTTGGACGTTTGATAAGAAAATGGATCAAGTTTAATGGCGCATGCTCTTTGTGCCACCAGCAGTCTCTTGCTGAGAGCATGCTCCAAAAGCGGGAACTGTGTGGCATTACACTGAGCATGTATATGCTTTGTGTTTCTGTGCCACAGAGAAGAGAAATGAACTGTGTGGCATTCGCCTCAGCGTTCTGAACGTTTCTGCTCAGATTTTTTAAAACCGTATAGTGTCCTCTTTGCACAATGGTACTTTTCTTGATGCTAGCCATTCACTCAGAGATTTAAATGTTAGAAATAAAACATCTCAATAGCATCTCTTTTAAATGATGTAGTCTTTATAGCATTGTGGGATGAAGTGAGGGGAGGCATACAGAATAAAATCTTCACAGGGTTCTTTTAAAGAGTGAAATATAGGGAAAATGTGATTCTCCGTGTACTTTTGTTTGTTGCCTGATAGCAATAATAAATGCGTAAAAGATGTTATGCAGAATTTTGCATAGATTTTAACTAACTATTTAGTGTTTATTCTCTTCATCTTGGAATTCACTTTAAGATTTTCAGAAATCTTTCTTGCTAATGCTTTGATTATGAGAGGTTACTGACTTCGAGTTTTCTTCCTCTCTCTCTTTTTTTTTTTTTCTTTTTTTCCCTCCACTTCTCTTCACAGGATGAATTTCACCCGTTCATTGAGGCACTTCTTCCACATGTCCGTGCAATTGCCTACACTTGGTTCAACCTCCAGGCTCGAAAACGCAAGTACTTCAAAAAACATGAGAAACGAATGTCAAAGGATGAGGAAAGAGCAGTCAAGGATGAGCTACTTAGCGAAAAGCCCGAAATTAAACAGAAGTGGGCATCCAGGCTCCTCGCCAAGCTGCGCAAAGATATTCGCCAAGAGTTCCGGGAGGATTTTGTGCTCACGGTGACTGGGAAGAAGCACCCATGCTGTGTATTGTCCAATCCTGACCAGAAGGGTAAGATTAGGAGAATCGACTGCCTGAGACAGGCTGACAAAGTCTGGCGTCTGGATCTAGTCATGGTGATCCTGTTCAAAGGCATCCCCTTGGAAAGTACGGATGGAGAGCGGCTCATGAAATCCCCACATTGCACAAATCCAGCACTTTGCGTCCAGCCACACCACATAACAGTATCAGTCAAGGAGCTTGATTTGTTTTTGGCATACTACGTGCAGGAGCAAGGTAGGAAGCAGATTGTTGTGTTTCTATGTTAGTGTGTCAAACTCTGATTCTGAGTAGCCCTGTTTCCCCTATGGGCTCACTTCCAGTGAAACATTATTCTGTGGTCTCTATACGTAATGTGGGTACATATCCTTATGTAAATCAGCATGTATACATATATACACAAATACACATATACTCCTACAGACCTGTGCAAGTGACATGTATGTTTGACATATGTCTCTTGTTCTCTTTCAGGAGAGAATAGGACATACCAGAGTAGTACTTTAGTTCGTCTGAAGCTGCCTTATTTATTTATTTATTTACTTATTTATTTAATTTATTTATTTTCATGAAAAAGGGGCACAATATTGTGTATTTTTTCCAGTAGTGACTTCAGAAAACATTCTTCTCTTTAAAGTTTTTGTGTGTCCTCCCCACCCAACCCACCAGTATTGTTAGTAACAGATGCAGGTATGTGCAATTGCACAATCACAATAAATAATATAAATATTTATTCTTGCATTTTCATTTACAAATAATCAAAAATCCATCTTTATGTTGATGATTCTATTGTAACTCTAAACGCAATTATAGACTTTCTCATGACTATTAAATAAATATGAAAAAAAATTTAGCACAAGAATGCAGCTTAGTAAATATTTAGTAGTCAGAATTACAGCATACACTACTTTACGTTTTATTCATATTTATATCATTAGCTCATGTTTCCTATCTGAGTTTTGAAAAACAAAGATATTTATAGAGAATTTTCCATAAAAAGTATATTTTCATAATCACACCAGTATAATTAATTTTATTTGGCAGATAATTAAAATATGAAAAATCACAGAAAAGCTCCTTTAACTTAGTTTTATGGAATTTAAATACAAACAGTGCTTCTGGTAATCATATCTGAGGGAAAAAATGCTATTCATTTTACATATTCACATAACAATATTCATATGCAGGTCCCCCAGAATCGTAAATGGCTGTAAGTAGATAAAGGTTTTCCTCTGATCCTAAGCCTGCTGAGAAACATTTTCTCTGTGTGCATCGTTTGTGTTCTTTCTGCTGATTATATCATCCTCTAGCCATCTTTGTATTGCTGGCTGATTAGCAGCAGTAAAACATTTATTTTTTAGCCGCAGATCTAAACCAGGGAAAGTTTGAACGGCTGCAGATGGTGGGCCATTTTACAACTTGGCCTGGTAGTAGGCAGAAATGGCCTGCAGAAGGGCAGATGGCAGGCTGTTATCTGATGCCCGATACATAACTCTGGATCTAACTGAAAAATAAACTGAATGGATTTTATTAGTAACAAAAAAGTGAAATTGCACATCTTCTTTCAATGTGTATTCATTGTTTTAAAGAACAGATACACAAGACAACCTTTTTATTTTCAATGAATTTTTCTGTTAGAAATTCAGTCATTCAAATGGTGTACTGTGTTCCTGTGAACGTATAAATAGTTTTCAATTTTGTTATTTGTTCCTCATGAAAAAATGCCTTTTTTTTCCCTCTTGTTTGTATTTTATATATTTTTTCTCCACAGTAGTAGACAATGTACTTAGAAATTTTGCAGCGACTTTAAGTAGTTGCACAGTCTGGTAAATCTGATCCTCAAAAGCATAAAAAATAAGTTTTCTATGATAGCATTAAACAAAATATCTTAATTACAAAATATTTTTAACTTCAAATTTCCTTGAAGGAAAAAAAAAAAAAAAAAAAAGAACATTAGAACATTAGTTTGAATGCAAATATTACAAGATATAGCTTACTGATTAATTCTAATGGATATACCTGTCTGTAAAAGTCAAAACTACAAAGGGAGGCAAAATAGCTTATGTAGATCTTGAACTGAAGAAGCTGTGGTCAGGGTACTCACACTCTTGATTTTAAGTCGTTGGAAGCCAGTAACTTGAAATGGGGCAAGAAAATGAAAGGCATAGCTGATATACTGTTTTAAATGGATTGAGAATATGAGATTATTCAAAATATTTGTCTAAACAGAAATACAACAGAGTAAGATAAGCATGCTGTAATATTATAACTTCCAAAGTTACAAGAAGCTACTTCAGGAATATACGGGAAGATGAAGCTAGCTAATTTCTTTGTACCAAGCCACCCTCAGTAGACCCTTTTGTTTGTTGTGAACCGCATGTATTTTTTATCTCTCTTGCTGCCTTACAGTTAATCTTCTGTTAACATCTGTTGGCTCTCTTCTTGAAGAAGTCATATTAAGTTATCTTTGTATTTTTATCCCGTTTTGTCAAACTTTGATTCTCTGTCCTCAGTGAAAGCAGGTTAATTGTGGCACTTTGCAGTGCACTTGATTAAGAGCACCAGGCTTTGCAAAAGATAAGCATGAAGTCAACCAAAATGCTGCCTTTTACACATGCTGTTTTGCTTTTTATTTCTATTTTGGAATACAAAACCCGCTTAATAGTATCGTATAAAAAACAAGTAGAGAAATAGAAACAATTTAATTGCTGAATGAAATATGAAGAATGAATTAGTACACAAAATGAATAAAGGGGCCAAATAGTATGTTTTTTGTTGCTTTAAAAAAGAAGATTAGGGGAAAAAGGAGGAGGAAGGATAGTTTGAGTGCCAGTGATGGTTGCCAGTGGCACCAGGATTGGCATCAGACCTTCTTTGTTTAGCCTAGGATGCCTGTGATTTGTTGGTTGGCATCCGCATTGCAGTGCAGAGTGCATGTTACAATATATTGACAATTTCCAGATCTAGAAGTGTCAATAATCCTTTCAGTTCCTAATAAAAAGAGCTTCTACTTCCACATCTGCCTTGAAGGATGAAATAAAGACTGACCTATGACGTTCTATCATTGACCAACTTCACCTGGTTCTGCTTTTCGCTCACCTCCCTCAGAATTCAGCATCTTTTTCTCCCTGTTCCCTTTCTACTATCCTCTTGCGCTTTAGGAACTTTTTTTTTTTTTTAATTTAATTTTTATTTTATTTTATTTTTTAAAAAAGAGGCTTGGCATAGGTTGCAATGCCTTTGACTGAAATGGAGGAAGAAAATGGGAGGCACACAGTGACCAAAGTTTAGCCTCAAAATAATTTTAAATCATAATACATTTCTACAGGGCTCTGCTTGTTTTGTATATCTAGTCCACCCTCCCCCCTCACTGTTTGTTTTTTTTAAAGCCCAAACCTTGTAAATGCCACAAATGTTGTTTCTAATGACAAAAATGCCCCCTCCTCCCCCCTTTTTTTTAGCTAGCATCAGAGACATTTTTTTGTTCGTTTGTTTGTCTATCATTTAATATGAAATGCATCTGAGTCCATAAAATCATTTGATGGTATTTGACTCAATCAGTGCAGCGCTTAGGCTGTGTTCCCGTTGCTACAAGAACCGCCATTTTGTTTGTCAAGTGCCAGGAGAGGAGGAAAAAAAAAGGCAGACAATGTGCTTGATGCCAATAATGGTTGCCAGTGGCACCGAGGTTGGCATCAGACCCTCTTTGTCTAGTTGCTGAATGCCTTTGATTCGTTGGTTGGCATCCGCATTGCAGTGGGCACATTGGAAAGTTTTTGACAATCAGTGAATGAAAGCTGCAGTACTTGTTTGCTGCAACAGAACCCAGATAATATAAATCCCTTCTTCTGATAGATGTTTTGCTTAGTCTTACAACGCCTGATTAATAAATAAATAAATAAATAAATAAATCCATTGCTCTTTTGCTAAAACATAAAATATCTCATCGCAGTGTGTCTCATCTGCAGAATTCCTAATCCTCACGTTGTCTCTGCTGTTTTTCTTCCTTGCAGCAAAAAAAAATTCAAAGATGATATTAGGTATTTTAGAAGATAGTGAATGAAGAATAATAGACCTTGAGAAATATTCTGGGAACTTAAAGAACTGAAGCAATGGTAAATGTAAATAGTAAACATTTGTAAGTCTTTTAAATGTGTGTGCCTCTCAGAGTACATTTCTCAGATCAGTCATGTTGCTGTTTACACTCTCCTTTGTCCTTTTGCAGGACTGATATAACTGGGGGAGCCTGCATCCCCAGCTGTTAATAAAATCTGAAGTTGAGGGAAGGATCTTTTAAACTATCCAAGAAGGAGAGCAGAAAATAGATGCAGATGTTCTTCGTCTGGTACTGCTCAGGCACTCCTGATTTTTTAAAGTTCTTAAAACATCAAGATGTAGTTACAGTTCCAGCTGCAGATTTTCTGCTACCAGGAACTCTGCAAAAAGGCTAAATCATTTCTGTTGGAAGTTTCCTAGATAGTTAGTATTAATATTGCTTTCCGGTTAACTGCTATTATCTCGTTAATTAATAAGAAGGATTAGCAGCCCTACCCAAAGGGCTGCACAGAAGGAAGCCTGGCCTATGTGAGCCCCTGTGTCACCAGACTGTGTCCTGTCTCTCCAGGGGTTGCGGGAAAAAAGGGAGAAAGGAAGGATAGGCGGGAAAATAAAGAGGGGGAGAGGCAGGAAGCGGGCTGGCTCCCTGCAGACGAGGTAGGGGAGAACCTCTCCTGCGAGGATTCATCTGTTGGGCCGCTGGGAAGCATGCAGATCCCAGGAGAGAGGGGGCTGGCTGCGTGCTGGCAGGGCGCACACACCACATGGCTGCAGCCGGCTGCCGCGTCAAGTAGCCAATGCAGGCTGCGCCAGGTTTGTCACGCACGCTGTCCTGATCCTTTGGCCAGCACCTTTAAAGATCATCTAAGCCCGAGTGCAGGCATTCCTGGGCTGCACCTGCATGGATCCAAAACTGCTTCTAGCCCAGCTAAATGCAGAGGAATCAGCAATCCCTTAGCGAGCAGGGATACCCTCCTTCTCACTTTGGCAGTGCTAGTGAGGCGTGCACGCAGTCTTGCGATGGACAGCGTGTCCTCTGTCCAGAAGGAACTGCATCTCCTTGTACAAAGCAAGGCATCTGAAGTGCGGGAGAAGGCAAGCAGACTCCTGGTGGGTCAATGCCTCTATCCTGTTGCTAAATTTGAGTTTTGTGAGTTTATTTTTAAGGGGAGCTCAAATTT